GCTATGCTTAAAGAACTTCACGTTTCCAGACCTTTTAGAAAAGTAAAAGGCTTCAGACCTAGGAAAGATGCTGCCCTCCACTGACCACTTTACAACTGCAAACCACAGCAATACCAAGATTTTTTTTTAATCCGTCAAACTGGTGAAAGTGCACAAGTGTGACCACATTCACTGCTGGTGAAGCTACAGAAAAACCAGCATGCACACGCATCATTGGTAGGCGGATAAAGTGGCCCCACTGCTGCAGCTGGCAGAATGTTGGGGCCCCACACATGCTCATGTCCTAATTCCCAGGACCCCTAAATACACTGTGCTCTAAAGCAAAGGAGATGGTGAGATTGGAGTAGCCCGAAGGGTGCTCACCAGCCAACTTAGGAGGGCAGAGCAGCCTCAGTACCCCAGCGGGCCCAACACCATCAGGAGGCTCCTTCAGATGTGGGAGAGAAAGCAGAAGGTGGGGGCAGAGAAGAGGTGAGGACAAAACAGAGGTGAGTGAAGTGATGGCTGGCAACTCTGATGACCTGAAGGATCTGGAACCCTGGGATGCAGGCAGCTACAAGAGCCTGGACAGGAAAGTGAGCCACTAGAGCCACTAGACACAACACTGCCTTCCACACTTTAATTTATTCCAGTGAGACCTATTTTATACTCCTGATCTCTAGAATGCTTAAGATATTAAAACTGTATTGTGGGGCTGGGGAGATAACTCGATGGTCTAAGCACCTGCCTGGCAAATGCAAGGGCCTGGGTTTGATGCCCGATACCGCATGCAGTGCCAGCCCTGCACCTAGAGAGCCACTGAAACTGGGCGTGGTAGTGCACACCTGTACTCCCAGCGCTGGGAGGCTGAGACAGCAGGATCATTTTGAGTCTGAGCTGTGTAACAAGATCCTGTACCAAATAAATAAAAGATTTTTAAAAATTAAACCAGTATTGTTTTCAACTGTATGTATGGTAACTGGTTACAACATGGGACAGCAAGTTGGCATTATTTATCAAATTACAAAGAACAGTCTATGCAGAGAAACATTAGTGGTTGTTTCCCCACCTGTATTTCTGGGTGTTAGTTCAACTGCTTTGCTAGTTGCAAACCTGCTGGGCAGGTGCAAAACTGTATTATCAGAGTAAAAGTGTATTTGTAAACTGTACAGAACTAAAACTTAGGAAGAAAACCATTTTCTTACCCCCTCCCAAAAAAATGGCCTGCCTGCTTTCCCTGGGGAACTTCTCAAAAACACCTGCTCACCTGTGAAATGACACATGTGTCAGATTATTCACTGCATCATGAATGGAACAGCAAGACACCAGAAACAACGAACTACATACTCATCAATGGGAGTTACTTAAATAAATTATTACAAAATAATATATTTGAGGCTATGAAAGAATGGAGGGGGGTTATATACTGATATAGAAAAACTGACAAAGTACATTGCGGAACAGTGTGTGACCTGTTGGTGTGGATAAGAAGACTTGTGGAGCTATAAAGCTACACAAGTGGCTCTCAAATGGGAGCGACGCTGCCCCAGGGGCCATGCAGCAATGTCTGGAGACATTCTGATTACCACAACCAGGGGGACAGGGCAGGGCAAGTCGCTGGTGTCTAATGCAGAGATACCAAGAACAAGCCCATCTAGAATGTCCACAGTACCAGGGTGGAGAAATGCCACTACGAAGAAATAGAGGATGGTCATGAAAGAACCTGAAGGGTGAGTGGTGGGGTCTAAGTGAGTACCGGACAGAGGAGGGAGATTTTGTGGTTCACCACTAGATGGACAAAGGTGGTTTTGTTTGAATCTTAGGTATGAATATATCATACAGTCAAAAATTAAACAATCCTTCAGAAAAAGATTGGAATGGAGAACACATTTTTCTATAAGGAACAAGTTTAATTCAGCCTTGAGAATTCTTGGTCCCTTCCCTGAAGACCCCAACTACTCCAGGACTGCACCCAACACCTACTAATGCTGCTCCAATTTCTCCCATCCCTGAGAAACTCTTCCTTAGCCCCAGGGCCAAACTCAGTGAAAAGGGCCATTTATACTTTTTGTCCTCACATCTGTCTCAGTTACTTTTTACTCTCTTTGCTGGGACAAAAATACCTGACACCCAAAACTAAGGAAGGAAAGGTTGATTTTATTTAGCTCATAGTTTGTACAGGTTTCAGTCTATACTCAGCTGGCTCCCAAGCCGAGTGGTACATGGCAGAAAGCAGCAGTTCATGGCAGCAGAAAACAGTGAAGAGCAAAGGGAAGGGCAGCAGCTGCAGCATCTAGCCAGCCTCTCTCCCCTCCTTATGTTGTAAACAAGCTATCCTGGGGCTGGAGGTGTAGAACTCTCACAGTATCCATGCCCTCCTGCTGTGCAGGATGAGGATGTTTACAACTGAGAACCCTAGCTCTCGGCTGAGTCAATTAAACTAAACTTCTCAAGTTGACAAAAGGTGTCAACCAGTACAACATCCAAGTGCCTCTCTCTGCCCCATGGCTACCATCCTATGGCCTCATATCCAGCCTGTGGCTCTTAAATGAACCCCTGTCTTCCCTTTCCCTCCATGCAGTTTCCCTCTATACAGGGACACTGGTGGCCCTACTTGAAACCCTCCCTCCATCCTAACAACTTTTGCCAGCCAAGCTTTAAAGCCCAGTATTTCTCTACATCATTGGTGGTGAACTACTGCGCAAATGCCACAACAGGCTCTTTGTATCACTGAAAGCTCTAAATGAGATCACTGCTCTGGGTTCTACCTAGTAGAACAGTTACAGATGGATAGGTTTGGGTTTGGGCCATCTGGGTTTAAATCCTGGCTCTTCCACGTGAAACTGTGCACTAGTAGGCAAGCTTCTTGGCTTGTCTGTCTCAGTTTCCTCTTTTATCAATTCGTGACAGTGGTAGCCTCCTTGTGCAGCTTGTGGAGGTTCAATGGGCTACACTGTGCAGAGCTGGCAGAATAGGGCTTGCATATGGGTACTCAGTAAATACAATACAATAGCAAACCCTCCCAGTATCCAGCCCCTTTACAACTCTATCCTAGCAAGCAGTGTAGTCCTCACCCTACTCTATGAATCTAAAATGGCCTTGTAACTTACTTGGCCCAAGAAAATGTGGCAGAAGTGATCAGTGTGTGTCCAGTCTTAGGGATCCTGTTGCTGACACATAAGCATGCTCAGGCTAACCTGAGAGAGGATGCAGACAAGCAGTCCAGTCACCCCTGTGGCCACAGCCAACATCCAACCACCTGGCTCACGTACACAAGTGTGAGGATGGTACGGGCCACGGTGCACGAGGAAGGCAGAGAGACCTGAATGGCAAAGTTGTACACTACATGCATGTCTGTCAGTTTAATAAAGCTGCCAGATATATGGTGATTGTCTTCCAGCAATGGCTGATATAGCCAGCTTCTTTTACAGGTATCATTCTTTTTTAAAAACTCTTTTTCTTTTTTTTTTTTTTTTTTTTTTTTTGATACAGGGTCAGACTCATAGTGAGCCTCCTGTCTCAGCCTCTCTAGTGCTGGGATTTCAGATGTGCACAACCACGCCAGCATGGCATGTGGTAATGGCGACTGAACTCACCTGGGATCGAACTTGGGCCCGTGGGCTTGCCAGGCAGACACTTGCGCTGCTGAGCTATCTCCCCAGAGCTTACCAAGTATCATTCTTAAGTGCCACATACACCGTGGATAATTCTGCCTACCCAAGCTCCAGTTGTCTGTCTGTCTGTCTGTCTTTCTTTCTTTCTTTCTTTCTTTCTTTCTTTCTTTCTTTTTTCAGCACTGGGGAGTGAACTCAGGACCTTGTGCCAAAGGCAAGCACTTATTCTACTGAGCTATCTCCTGGACACTTCAGTTGTCCTTTATAGGCCACTAACCTCATGTTTCCTCTGGCTCCAGACGCCCATATCCACCTCCCTGATAGACTTTTCCTCAGGATCCTCATCAAAACATCTGTTTGACGTGCCCTGGAAGGCCAGGCTCTGTCTCAAACCTGCCCCTTCTCGTGTGTTCTCTACCCCAGTGTAAGCACTGCTAGGAGCCAGAAATCTCCACTGTTTTCCTCTCCCTCTCAGAAGACACTCATCACGACCTCTATCCTGAGCACATCTTGAACTCTTGTCCTCTGCTCCCCCTCCACTCTTCATTCTGGTCTACTCCTCTCAACCCACCTTTCTGCTGTGACCCCACCCCTCCAACGACTTCCCTGCAGTAAAGTGTTCTTTCCAAAGCATTAATCTGGTCCTATCATCTATTCTGTTTAGGACCTTCCACGATTCCCAGTTCCCTTTGGTTAGTGAGCCTTTTTCAGCCTTGACCTCTGCATCTGTCTTCTCCTCTCTAGGGAGAGACCTCTCAGTCCTTCCAGCCCCTGTCCTGTGGTAGCACCTTTCCCCCTCTCCTTGATCGCCTTTGCAGGGGTCTCCCATCATCACCTTCCATTCTTTTCTGGTCTGGTAAATTCAGCCGAATCCTGAAGTCTTCGTGCAGATGTGCACATAATTTCTACCAAAAACCTTCCCCACTACCACCTCCCCAAACTAGGTCAGCTGCCCCCGGAACGGCCCAAAGCTTAGAGGTCACATCTGTTGTTTGTCAGTCCAGCGCGCCCACCAATTCGTGTTTTGCCTGGGCAGGCACTTTACTGGGTTCAGAAGTATCCAGAAGGCCAAGCCAAGATGTGTGAGCAGGTTCTTAGAGAACCCACGTGGCAAGAAGGAATGAATGGACACTCTTTAAGATTCTGTCCAGGTCTCTTAAGATTCCACACACAGTCTCCTGATTGTTTTGAAAGGTCAAAGTTTATAAGATTGATTTTATGTTAACTAAAAGAACTTCCACTTCTAGGATAAAGTTTGCCAAAACCGCTCAAAATTGCCATTCCCTCTCTCAGGAGTCCTCCACTCTTTCCCTCCCGGGGCGTCCGCGGGAGGCCGCTCGCGGGTCCCCTCCCACCCCCCTCCTGCGCCCGCGGCCCGGCAGGCGCTGGGACCCGCACCCGGCTCACCTGGCCGCCTGCATCAGCGCGCTCCAGCCGTAGTGGTTGCGGCTGTTCACCGAGGCACCGCGCCGCAGCAGGAAGCGCACCAGCGGCTCGTGGCCTCCGGCCGCAGCGAACTGCAGCGCGGTGTTGCCCGCCTCGTCTGAGCAGTCCACGGGCACCGGGGCTCCGGCCGCCGCTGCCCCGGGACCGGCCGACTCGGGGCGCCC